AAAAAAAAAAAAAAACCCAAGAACTTTTCCTAAAATTAATTAATGAAAATCTATAGTTTGCTGAAATTAACAACACTTCCCCATATTATTCCAACTAAGACATTGCTCATCCAGTGAAGCACTCAAGTTAACTTTCCTTACAACCTTGCCAGCAAGTAAATAATTTCTTCACCCACCAAATTTGTTATACTTGGACTTGGAAGCAGTGGCCGCAGATGCCCATGTATGCCATTTCTAATTCCCGCCTAAACTCTGATCCAGCGGGCCCAGTCTTAGGAAAGATGGAAAAGAAAACAATTTAGAAAGCATGCTGGCTGTGGTGGGCTATTAATAAAAGTTCTTTAAACAAATATATAAAACCTTTGCTCTCTCGCACCTGAATAACTCCGAATCTAAATGGGGCTTAGTAAAAAGCAGTGGGGATAAGAAAGTGGCCACAGCAAAGTGTAAACAATGTTCCAAGAAGTCAACAGGCTAAGAGTTGACCTCCTTCCCTTGGGATCTGGTGAGCGCTCCAGTGGACAACAAAGGAGTCGTTGGACTGGCTGACGAGGGACCTGCGACACCAGATCTCCACACTCAAAATTCCCCGAGCGGGAAATTCAACAGGAGAGGGAAGAAATAACGAATGAAAAGAAAGAAAGAGAGGGAACGAGCAGGGGAGGGGAGATGGTGGCAGGTAGCAGAAGCAGGGACCATGACAGCAAGTTGGAGGCAAGCTTACCCAGAGAGAAAGAGACACGTGCCAGGCACCTGGAACCCCAGATCGGCCTCGGTCACACAGACGGAGGCCCTGACACAAAGGAACATCGTCTTAAGAGGATCAGTACCCTGGGGTTCTATCAGGGTACACCTGATACTAAATGCAGATTATACCTGATACTAAATGCAGATTTTGGTGTCTATGCATTTTCCTGCCCCCAAGTGGCTGAAGACCAAGGGTATGCATCATCACAATGACAAGCTAAAGCATTCACTCTGGGTCTCCTGCCACCTCCAGAAGGAGTACACACTCACTTTTAAAGGCAACACAGGGTGCCAGGGTGGCTCAGTCGTTAAGCGTCTGGCTTCGGCTCAGGTCATGATCCCAGGGTCCTGGGATCGAGCCCCACATCGGGCTCCCTGCTCAGCGGGAAAGCCTGCTTCTTCTCCCACTCCCCCTGCTTGTGTTCCTGCTCTTGCTATCTCTCTCTCTCTGTCAAATAAATAAATAAAATCTTAAAAAAAAAAAAAAAAGGCAACATTATAGGGGTGGCCTGGGTGGCTCAGTCAGTTGGGCATCAGACTCTTGATCTCAGCTCAGGTCTTGATCTCAGGGTCGTGAGTTCAAGTCCTGCATTGAACTCACGAAAGAAAGAAAGAAAAGAAAAAGCAACATAATAAAAACACATGTTAGGGAAAATGGTGACTTTGAAATGGGCCAAAAAAGGAAAAAAACAAATCAATGGGTGACTTTTCAGTGGAGAACCAGAAACCGTAAAGCATCCTGTTCCAGATTCTTTTACTGTTCTTCAAGCAGCTACTCTGCAACTCTGTAAGTCATACAAGACTAGCATTATTGCAAATGCCCCTTGTCCATAGAGATACAAATCAATTTTTTCTAGTGGACGTGCAACTCAGTCTTCATTTTCTTGTTTGCTTGCTCTTGGGATTCTTCGAACCAATTATAAGAGCTTACTGGCTCCTCACTAATTAGTGAGTTCTGTCAAATCTTTGGCATGCCCATTTTGTATTTGTAGGAGAGTCATGAGTTTACCTTCTTCAAAACAACCTTCAATGCATATTAGAATTTTTCATCAATACCATTTAAAGTAGAAAAATTGCAGTGTAAACCTTTAGCATATTAGTGAGAATCAGTATACGTTTCCTGTGGCAACTTATTCCGCCAGGGGCCTGGGAAAAAAGAGTATACTTATAAAAGTCCAAAGATTCTGTACCTAATGGTTCCAGGAACTGCCATACTGCTCAGGGATATAGCTGAGACTCAGTTTCCCCATCTGTAAGATGAGAATAATGATGCCCACTTCAGGAATTGTTCCAAAATGAATGGACATAGACCACCTAGCAGTGTCTCACCCAATGCCTGGCACAGAACAGCCTTCTCCACAGGTTTCTTTGAAGAACTCAACCAACTAAACTTCGGATGCATTCTGATGCTTTCGAATACTGAATCACATTTGGTCAGAATTAATCAACTCCTTCTGGAAGAAATATGTAGCTGAGAAACGCAAAACGCCAGATGGTTGTGTGAAAACAGAGACCTCAGTTAATAAGGAGTTACATTTCCTTTTCCATGATGACATAAAAAAAGTCTAACATATATTAAAGCTTTATCAGGCAATTTCTCTTTTTTAAGATGTTGAATCTCCTGTTAGCAAGGACTCTGATAGTGTAAAGATATTTTGTCCAGAGCAAACTGACCAATGGAGAACAGAATCGAAGAAAAGAGGAGAAACAGCATCCACACCCATGCAAAACTGTGCAACGGGGACAGATGCAGAGCAAATGGGCCAAAAATAAAGCCAAAGTAAAAACACACAACAGCGGGCGCCTGGGTGGCTCAGTTGCTTAAGCGACTGCCTTCGGCTCAGGTCATGATCCTGGAGTCCCGGGATGGAGTCCCGCATCGGGCTCCCTGCTCAGCAGGGAGTCTGCTTCTCCCTCTGACCTTCCTCCTTCTCATGCTCTCTGTCTCTCATTCTCTCTCTCTCAAATAAATAAATAAAATCTTTAAAAAAAAAACAAACAAACCACACAACAGCCATCAAGATTACCCCCAAAGAGTCACAGCCTCTCCCCAGGAGTTTGTGAACCAGAGAACCAGACACTCAAAGACAGGACAGGAAGCCAAGTAAGAGCAGCAGGAAGGAGACAGCTCAAGGTCAAGAGTCCTGGGTTGTAAACTTGAGTGCAATTTAATTCTTGGAACCTCAGTTTTCTCATCCGCTAAGCGGGACCTCATTGCAAGTCAGTATGGCTTGGAGGAGAGTTAATGAGTTAGGAAGCTGAAAACACCCAGCAGTAAGCTAGGCTCATGACCACAGAGCCCTGTACCCCCTGAAATGTAGGAGCAGGGATTCAAACCCAACCTATAAACTCACTGTGTTCTTTCTCTTCGTATCTCCCGATGTTCCCTATTTTCCAGATTTGTAGACAAGAGAAATTACGTCCTAAAGAAAACACTCCGAAGACCTTCCCTGTGTGATCTTGGGCTGTTTTTGTTGCTTGAATTCTGGAATCTCTTCATCATGATTTTAGGATCGATTCCATGTCCTTGATTCCCGTGGCTTAGTTGTGTGATGATTTTAAAACTGAAAATGTAATTTCCTGAGTCTCAACCCCTTTAACTTCATATGAGACTTCATCTCTGCTCCTTTGCAGTCGACTTACTGCAGGAATCATGTGATGCCTTGATTTTTTTTCTGCATGGCATAAACTCTGGCAAGATGGCTCTGCTGCCTTCTAGCTTCACCCAGTACCAGGATTGGAAGAAAGGCTGGTGATATTTATATGAAGTAGACCCCAAAGAATGTCTGCCTTGTAAATATTAGTACAGATGATACAAGAATAGAAATGACTTTTGTGGTTACCCAAAGTCAGACTGAGAGGTTTATAGTCACAAGGACCCACTGGCTAGCCACCGTATTACGAACATTTGTTACATGATCCCCAGAACCGCCCAGAATAGGCATTATCTTATTGAGGCTTCACAACAATCCCAAGAGGGAGTTTGTCATTTTACAGATAAGGGCCATTGAGGTCCAGAGAAATTAAGTTACTTTCTCAAGGCCTTACAGTTAGTAAGTAGGAGAGATGAGCTTGAACCCAGATATGTTCAACTCCAAGCTATTCTCTCAAGAATTACATTACATGACATGAGCTTTTAAAAAAAGGCTTCTTGGGTGCCTGGGTGGCTCAGATGGTTAAGCCTCTGCCTTTGGCTCAGGTCACGATCCCAGGGTCCTGGGATCGAGTCCCGCATTGGGCTCCCTGCTAGGCGGGGAGCCTGCTTCTCCCTCTGCCGCTGCCTCTCTCTATCTCTCTCTCTGACTCTCATGAATGAATAAATAATAAATAAATAAATAAATAAAGGCTTCTTTCCTCCCTGCTTATCCTGCCCCCCAGTCCTAGCACAACAATCTTTGTACTTCTGTGGTCTCCGTGGCCATGAAAGGAGGATAGGTTCTGTTAGAAACATCAGGGAAGACTTTGATTCTAGGTAGATTCCATTCCTCTACTCTTCTCTTTGTGAAAGCTATGTTGTATTGAAGATGTTGGATTCTACCAAAAAGCACCTTATTTACACTGATGGCCCATTAACACAACATGTAACCCAAGGAAGAATGCAACAATAAATCATCAGTCACATAATTAAAAAAAAAAATAAAAAGAGGCTTCTTCTTGAAGGGACGGGAAGACCTAATATATGTGGCTAAGTAACACGAAAGGAGAGAAAAGAAAACAAAAGCAAGAGACTAGTTCTCCTTGGGGGAAGGAAGTAAGAGTCCATATAAAGGAGATCAAACCAGCTGGGTTTAAAATAGCTTGTATTTCCAGGGAAAACCCTGAGCAGTTCTAAAACATTTTAAAATATAATGTTAAAAAACAAAAAATATGCTTACATTGTTCAAAGGCCAGATGTAAATATATAAAGTGAAAAGTCTCTCAGCTTCGCCCCCCAACAATACAGCCTGGACCCCAACTTCTGCTTCCAAGAGGCAACAAGTGCTCTTAGATTTCTGGGACCCTTTCAGAGTTGGGTTTTTTCCTGCACAGATAAGCATACACATGAATAGATACTGAGCAGTATAAAGAAGTCTTACAGGCTTGCAATTCTCAAGAAATGCAATTTTTTTTTTTTTTAAGTAGGCTCCACACCCAGCGTGGAGCCCAATGCAGGGCTTGAACTCATGACCCTGAGATCAAGACCTGAGCTGAGATCAAGAGTCTGATGCTCAACTGACTCAGTCCCCCAGGCACCCTAAGAAAGGTAACTTTTGAGTGAAGACAGACAAACTCTGTCAGTGTCCACAGCTGCATGAGAGATGCTGACACAAAAATGGCAGGTGCTAGAGGGACACTGCTGTTACCTTTGTCTCTTCCTAGATGTGCAAGAGCACCACGAGTCCTTCCGTGAGTGATGAGAAGGTAGTGAGCGTGAAACACAGATCTTTAATAGAGGTGAACAAATGTCATGAGGGCAATCACAGACCATCATGGAAATGGAATGCCTCTGAAAAGAGCACTATTAGTAATTACCCCACAACAACCGATCTGTGACTATCCCAGGGAAGTATAAGTGGTCACTGAAGACAAACTTACGCACTAAAGACACTCAAATGTTTAGGACCCGAGAAATTTCTTGGGAAACCCCACAAGAGCACTAGCCAGCTTTTCTTCCAAATTATGTTAAAAACAAAACAAACCGAACACCAAAAAACCTAGTTCTTCAAGAAGTTAAAAAAGGTCTTATGGGGAACAAAATTCTCCCTGGTGAAAGAAATCTGGGAAACAGTGTATATGAAGATACCCTTTGAGATGCACAAAAAGCATTAATAACATTAAAGTCTGGAGGATTAGTAAAACAGTCAAGGAACACCTTAATCTTATTTACCCCAGTTTTCCAAATGAATTACACAAATGTCCCACTATCTGTATAGATTTGTAGGATAAGGTCAGTGAAAACTCCTGGCTAACAAATGGACTCGTTACCCGTCTGGAATGGATTCACAACGGTCTTGTGCAATTAGCAGAGGGCAAGACAGGCAGTGTGAGCACAGACTCCAGAGTCATACCGTCTGGATCGGTGGATCGGAAGTCTGGCTCTGCCGCTGAGTGCAGTGTCCCTGGGGTAATTACCTAACTTCTCCATGCCTCAGCTTCCCTATATGCAAATGAGGCCACTCAAGGTCTTTAATGAGGATTCAGTGAGAATGATCCATATAAAGTGAGAACATTAACCCAAAGACATGGAAGCATTCCACAAAACTTCTGTTGAGTGTTCATATGTATCAGATACTGTGGTTTCAATGATAAATAACAGTATCCCTGCTCCCCAGGCATGCACACGGGGAGGGGGCAAGGCCAGAACACACCATGCTGAGGTCTATAACAGGAGCGGGTAAACATGCAACAGTAGCAAAGAGAGGGAACATTCATTTTGTTGGTCGGGGTCATGGAGGGAAGCTAGGTTTGAGAACGTTATCACAAAAGGAGGCTGACCCGAAACATTGACCTTGAAGGAAAAGAAGATTCTGCCTTCCAGAAGTAAACATGACCGTATTCCAGAGCTGATCTACAGAATGCCCCCCTGGCTGGAGAGGGATTAACAATTCTGCCCAGTGGCATACTTGCAGGTCAGAAGCCCAAAGATACGTGTGGCCCCCTAGATTTAAGAAAAATTGGAAACACAACCTAAGTATGACATGTTGTCTAGGCCAAGAAAACTCACCGCACAAAGGTGCTCCGTCTTCAAGAGGGTAGTGGCAGGGAGGGGACATCTACAGTGGGTATCTGGGGCAGCAGTGTCAATGACCCAGGCCACCTGCCTCCGAAGAATCTGGAGGCTTCTCAGAAGTACAAACTGCCCTACCTACTGAATCAGAATCCCCAGGACTAGTCTAAGAAGCTGCATTTTTTTTTTTTAAGATTTTATTTATTTATTTGACAGAGAGAGACACAGCGAGAGAGGGAACACAAGCAGGGGGAGTGGGAGAGGGAGAAGCAGGCTTCCTGAGGAGCAGGGAACCCGATGCGGGGCTCGATCCCAGGACCCTGGGATCATGACCTGAGCCGAAGGCAGACGCTTAACGACTGAGCCACCCAGGCGCCCCTAAGAAGCTGCATTTGTAAGAGGCAACCTATGTGGTTTGAATGTATAAACACTGAAGTGTACTCCCAGAATGCTGTACTTTAAAATGTTCAAACAGACATACTTCGGTCACACAGGCATGCTCTAAGTAGACCCTGGATGGATTTAATTCCCTCTCAAAAATTTTTCATCAAAAAGTAGACACAAGCTTGTGCACAGAATCCAAAGAAAATGTTTTAAGAATAGAGCTTATTGTATTAAAGCCTCAAAGAATTTTAATACTGTATCCAAGAGAACAGAAAAGTTAGTCTCTCTTAGATGTTACTGAAACCAAAATTTGGACAGGGCCTAACTCTATCACTCATATGGTTTTGAAATGAAATAAAAAATGTCCTACAAGCATTTATACAAAACTGACTTTAGTGAACTATTCTTCTTTTAAATTAAATGAACACTTCCTTATTTATTATGTTGGATTAAGATTGATTATGTTTCTCTTAAAGACTTTTCAATTAAGCTGGGTTTATTTACACATTTTCTTGAGGGCATGAAACCTTTCCACTATTGATAAAATCCAATCTTCTACCAGAATGTAGAGGAAAATCCTCTAAATAAGCTCCATGATTTTCTTTTTTGTAAAGATTTACTTTTCCATTTTAGAGAGAGAGAGCACAAACGGGAGGAGGGGCAGAGAGAGAGAATCTCAAGCAGACTTCCCACTGAGTGTGGAGCCCAATGCAGGGCTTGATCCCAGGACCCTGAGATCATGACCTGAGCCCAAACCAAGAGTTGGACGCTTAACCAACTGAGCCATCCAGGCACCCAAGCTCCATGATTTTCTCCACTTTTCCACCTCCAAGCTCTCCTTACTCTGTGAGAGGCCCTGGCTCCTGATGAATATTTATACACACGCAGCACTTAGAAAACCAGTAACAGATTTTAAAATCCAGCACACAGGAATGTAGTTTCATCACCTAATCAGCCCCTAAAACGGGCATCAGTAGTCAACATAGCCCTTCTGGTCTCATCAGGTTGCTCCTGGTCAAATACTATGGACAATCAGACAATAAAATTGCAGGTAACATTTGTGTAAGACTCTAAAGTTTGCAAAATATTTTCCCTGTAGCACTTTTTATGTTTATGAAACTGTTTGTTCTGGTTTACCCTCTTATTACTTAACCCCAAGGCAACCAGATGGGAGAGCCAAGATTCAGAAGTTCTTATCGTTTATGAATTTTCTATCAAATGCCATGATGTTGCTAAGCCAGCTGTAGAATCCCACTTCTTACAGCTTGTATGCTTCCCAGGAAAAAGCAACTCCTTGAATCAGAAAAAGAGAAGAAGCACAGGTCTTACACAATCGAGAACGAGGAAAAGCTATGCATCTACCCTCCCCCTCTCCCTCCATACCTGCCTCAAATAGTCGAGCTCATCCTTTAAAGTCAGCCACCTCTACCAGGAAGCTTTTCCAAATCCAGTGGCAGAACGATCTCTGCAAATCCAATGCAGGGAATAAATCTCTCCTTCTTTTAATGTGATTTTCTGCCTTGGGGTAGAGTTAAATTCCTATCTTATCATACTTGATTATGATTCTTGTCAACTGAAGGAGCATGTCTATTCATCTTTGTATTTTTCAAATGTGCCCTCCAACTGACAAGGAGTGAACTCCATGGAACTCATCAATATTTTTTTACAGCAATTCATGAAGATGTGTCAGGAAATCAATTCAGTTTCACATATCTAATGCTTAACAAATAAATTTACTTGTACTTCATGGACAAAAACAGCCCTACCAAGGAGACATAAAATATTTTTTGTTTTAAAGGAGAGGAGTCTACATAAAAGACATGCATTTTCCTTTTCTGTCTC